GGATAACGACACCATAGCGAGAGGAGAGTAAGAACCAATATCAATCAGTACCGTACCCATCATAGCCAGCATAGAGGATATCCAGATATTCTATTCGACTAAGCGATTCCCTTTGAACTGCTACATGATCCGGATCTGCACTTACATAGGTGAAGGGAGAATTGTAAATTTGGACTCCTAAAACATGGATTTTTAAGTCACAAAATATAATTTTCATTATCGTAAGACAGTAAACAGATGGAAAAATGAAGTCTAAGAGCGAAAAATCATGAAAATCTTATCAGAAAAATTGCAAAGTAAAGTTTTGTCACTGTTATTCTTTTTTGTTCGTCCTTCGTTTATTTAATCGCTTGTGCGAGGCATTCATTCATACAATCATTTAAGCATTCAATTCTCTCGTTCATTTTCACATGATTCATTCGCATTTTGTTCTCGCAATCAATCACCGTTCATTCAGTCATCCGATTCATTTTCACTCAATCACTTATGATTAGAAAAGAATGAGACCTCTAATCGGGTCCCAGTCAGCTGTCCACGAATAAGCAGGGAGTCTTAAAAGGTCACCGCTAGATATTTGCATACGATCAAAAGCGGCCCTAATCACAACAATAGCCTCTTCAAGCGCACTGATCCCCAAATAATTGAGGAGGAGGAAAAGGGAGCTCTACAGCGTCCCAGATTACCATATACTGCTAAAAAGTGTCTTTTATTTGATAACGTACCCTTCCAGTGTTTTGCCCATCCTTTAAAAATCGGCGCTCCCCAGCAGACGAGTCCCAAGTCGTCTTCGCCTTGACAAAGATTTTCACTAAGCCGAATAGCGTTTGGATCTGCGAAACCCGGACAGTCCCAAAGTGTATTTGCACCAGGGTGACAATCTGGTCGTGGCATTGCAAGCGGATATGTGTCATTGTTACGAAGATGCCATTTGAGAAAACCTGTAAGTGTTCTCCAATTTAGCTTTTTCTTAACAGAAACATCAAAAACATGAAAGCAAGACATAGGGATATTTGTCGAGAAAATTACAGCAACTTTAAGAAAATTTTTAAATGAAATGAAAATTTAATCATGAAACAAAGAAAAGACAAGAATAAGTTGTTGAACAAATGGATGCCTGCGATAATATTTAAAGTTAGGAGCCTAAATTTAAAAAAAAGAAAATCTAGAAGCGTTTTGATATCAACACTAAAGACAAGAAGAAGAAGGAAAATAAGCGAAGAGGGACAAATTTTTACAAAGGGACCAGTTCTCATGCAACAAAACTGAGCTGATTGTAAAATAAGTGAATGAATGAGAAAAAAAGTGCTATCAGTTGAGGTTAAAAGGTACAGTTTTTAATGCAAATTTTTTCCAACAAAAAAAGGACTTGGGACGAAGAAAAGTGATAAAAAGTGTTGGTTATATGGATGATTTGGGAATGGATAAAGCAGTAACAAATAAGGAGAAGTTGACTTTGACTAATTATGATCAAATGCCTGAATCATTCGAGCTTCTTTTAGGATTTCTGTTTAGAAAATAATATAGTAAGTGAAGAGGATCAAAGAGCAGAAAAATACATGAAGCTTCAAAATTAAGACAAATAAATTAATTAGAAAAAGTACTGATACTCACCTCCATCAGTGTAGCCCATAGATCTGCAGGCTGTTGTTGTGTCTATGCTCGTCCAGCTAAACAGATGAAGCTAATTTTAGAATGTTGCTAAAAGTCAAAGTCCTCTCCA